CGGCTCCACCTCTTTTCCTTTGCCTTTGAGCCGCTTAATTCCCAGCAAGGAATTAGCAGGCTCGCTCCACCTCCTCCTCCTCCCGGCTTTGCTGCTGCGAGGCTCTTTTCCTCTACCGACGGCGCGCTGCGCCTTGGAGAGGTTCCCGCTTCCTCGAGGGGGGCCGGCCAAACGCGCCCCCAAAAATGTTGCGCCCGGTGCGGCCGGCACCCCCCACGCTACGCCACTGATAGTGCTTAACCCTGGTTAACATGAACCAAGGTTTGCAAAAACATTTAGAACCTGGTTTTACCTATCAGTCACAAGTTAGCGTGGCTTAGTCAATCAGACTTAATGCTTAACTGTGATTTAGGAAAACAAACTTTTAAGTTTTGTACAGCATTGCGCTTTTTTGTTTTCCTGAACGTGTCAATCAATTGTTATAAATACAATTACGTGGGGCATATATGCCTATTCATCGCTACGTATGAACCAACAACCAAATATGGATATTACACTATATATGTTGCCAAATATGGATTTTATCTATCAATATATATTGTCTTAGGACAGGCATTCTATCGTAGCTTTAGCTGTGCTTTACATATACGCATTGTGACTTCATGTTGCACATGTTACTACAACTGCAGCCACACACATTTATGTGGATAGACAAAATGGATGGCTATTTCTCTCTCTCTCTATGCTAGGGGCAGCAGATTGGACAAAAATATTTGCTGTAGGTTATTCAACTGTGATACCTCGGGGGATTCAAGATGTGCTACATCTGGTGTCTGCTCAGGTTTTATGAGATAATTGCTCCCTAGCCCACCTAAAAACATGGCGTAACGGAGGGGTTTGCTTTCTAAATTTAAAAAACATGGAACGGGCAGGAATTGAATCAGTCACGTCTCGGTGGCATTGATAGTATGGGGCGGTGCTGGTGGTTATAAATAAGGACACAAACAGCAATGGTGCAATAAGAACAGGATTAATCTAAGTGTGATTAATTCCGTGTCAGATTAAAATGGATATTGCCAGCTGTATCGGATCCATTCTGCTGAATTATTTCTGCCTGTCACTTCTGGGTCCACTCCCCTTTGCCCAAACGGCCCTCTGTGGTGGATAAACCTTCAGGAGAGTTAATTGTCACATACATGGGTTTAATCACAATGTCCACGGAGTTTGGGGGCCTTGCCTTCAGCGATCCATGACTAATTGTTGTGGTAATTTTTCAATCATTAACAGGAGCGCATATGCTGCTGACAAATCCCATGGCACCCACTAAAACCCCACTGGCAAGATGAGCACACGCCTTCGCGAAGGCCACCAGACCCTTCCCCACCGAGGCCATTATGCTGCCATTAATATCTTATAAGCATGCGCCCGTTTCTTTTCAGAAAAGGAGGGCCCTCTCCCAGAGAGGGAGGGCCCGTTTTTGTTTATTCTCAGCATTTCAGAGGCAAGATGAGGTGGCGGCCAAGCTGAGGCAAGAAGGGAATTAAGACTCCATCTGGGACAGCCTAGCTGAGGGCCTGTTCTGTATTCAGCTGGTTCCTCGTTCATTTGCCGCGGAGCTCCTGCAAGTGCCCTTTCTTTGAGCTTCGGCTGTACTAGAGATCTCCATGGCAACCGCTGGTGCTCATCTGCTGCGCCATACTGCAGCTTCCCCTCTGCTCAATTCTCTAGCCTCCCCGTGTCAGACGGGGCATGCTATATGCACGGGTGGGACGAGACCTTGCCTCGGGGAGTCCTCCAGCTGACTGAAGTCTCATTCTAATCACCTTCTAATACCAACGAACGGGATTACGCTGCGTGTGCAGGCGTGTGTGTGTTTGTTTTTTTAAGGGGGGGGGACTCCACCCTTTTTCTTTGAGATTGCCCTTTATAAAATCCAAACGCTTACAGCGTTCTCTGCAACTCGAAAGGAAGGAGAGCAAAATGCAGCAAGGAGCACTCCTGCAACAAGGGCATGGCTTATTAAAAGTTGATCTTGCTGCAGAGTTAGGTGAGGTGTACGTACACACACACACACACACACCACACGAGAGAGAGAGAGAGAGAGAGAGAGAGAGAGAGAGAG